GACAGGCCTGCCCGAGGCTCCGTGGGAACACGGGGGTGATCGAAGCATGGGGAGACCCCCAGGCGGAGTGGGTGTGAGTGTAGCAGTGGAAGCTGGGTCCCACTGTGGCATTTTGCGGGGTGTCGTCGGCTCGGCCTTGTACAGGCAGGTCGCCTCTGACCCCTGGGAATAATGACCGAATGTTCACCACGGTGATCTTCGTGTTGCCAAAGATAATTCTTGAATTAAGGTGACACGGACCACAAGATGTGTTAAGAATTTTAGATAATGAAGCCTTACTGAATTTAAATAAAAATATATCTAAAACAACTAGTAACCCAGGGGATTTCTTGACTTACGAAGTGCTAATGAGAAGCGGAAGTATCTGTTTTCATCACTGGACTTCATACCGGTGCAGGGACAGGAAAAAAAAAATACACTAAAAGATGTGCTTCGGGAAAGAAGATGTTTGTGAGCAGGAAGTACAGCTGGCACCTGCCTGTCCCTAGTTGCGGGGCTGGGGCCCAAAGGCGTGGCTTGAGTGTGGAGTGTGATGTCAAAGCAGGAACTGAAAGAATTCTGGGGAATTGGGGCCGGGAGGCCAGGCGCCAGCGCGAGTCCGCCAGACACTCAGGAAGTCTTGTGCCCGTTCGCACCATGGCAGGGGCCGCGCAGGAAGCAGAGGACGCACTGGCCTGCGTGTCTCTGGTGTTCGTCTCTTTGGCTCTGAGCTGTGCATTTCCGTGGCATCCCGACCCCACGCAGTGTCTGGGACGCGTGCACCACACACCTAGCGAGGAGGCTGGGATGGTTCCTCTCGGTCCATCTAAGTCCTCGGAGGTCGGCCTCGGCTCCCACGCCGGGGTGTGGAGCTCAGAGACACCGCTCTAGCCCATGTCACCCTGTCTGTCATTGGTCGGCCTGCCTGCGGGGTCCTCCCCACTTGTCACACGCACCCTCTGTCCTTCGACTGTGAGCGTAGGCCTGAGCCCTCGCTTTCCAGCATCTTCCTTGAAAACCCTGCTGTCTCCTCCGGACCCGGTGATTATTTGTAGTCCTACGTGACATGGCGACTGTGTTTGTGTGTGGGTGACATGGGGATCGTGTGTGGTCGTACGTGACGTGGGGTTCGTGTGTGGTCGTGGGTGACGTGGGGTTCGTGGGTGGTCGTGGGTGACATGGGGTTCGTGGGTGGTCATATGTGACATGGGGATCGTGGGTGGTCGTGGGTGACGTGGGGATCGTGGGTGGTCGTATGTGACATGGCGATCGTGGGTGATCGTGGGCGACGTGGGGTTCGTGG